ACGGAAGGAACGCGAGGAAAAGAGGAGGCACAGCAGCAGCAAGTGCAGGGGCACGCGTGCTGAGGCTTAGGGCAGGGTGTCGGGTGCGGAGATTACTACTACAACGGGAGCTAGACTACGGCTAGGCACGGGTGCTCGTGTGATCTCTGCGTTCGTTGTTCCTTAGTCGTTTTCCTAGTGCACACACTGCTTGCTAGTTCACGGGGTAATTTGGCAAGAGTTTCACTAGAGAAAGTTGACAACAATGGTACAATCAGGTTGGCAAGACAAGACTACATCAGAGCTAGCATTCAGGGCGGTCGACTGCCAATGCAGCATGGTCGACCTCGTTCCAGCACGACTTGGTCGACCGCGCTCCAGCAGTGCAAAGTCGACGGCGTGCCAATGCTGCAGGTCGACGGAGTGGAGAGGGGAGAATGCGGAAAATGGGGAGACTGGGCGATAGGCGGGGAGATGGGGGGGGGGAAGAGATGGGGAGGGTAGACAGGGAGGAAGCTGCAGGCACAGGTGGGCAGGGAAAGATGGCAGGTGGCGTGTGAACTAGTGACTTTCTGCAGAAAGATTGCTGACAGGGCAGAGAAAAGACAATGTGCATGCAACACGGGCAAAGGGAAATCGGCGGCTTGAGTCGAGCATGAGAAGAGGGCAGGCGGGGTTGAGGAGCAAACAGAGAGCAGTGAGGAGGAAACAGCATGCGAGAAGGTGTGAGGTAGGCATAACAGGGCTTCAAAGTTGGTGAGGCTACCAAAGAACTCTGGTATGGCGCCCGTGAGATTGACTGCCAGTACTCTGCCATGTACGACACATGCCATCCGCAACACATGCCATGCGCAACACATGCCATGCGCAACACATGCCATGCACAACACTTGCCATATGCACAACACATGCCATGCGCAACACATTCCATGCACGACACATGCCATGCGCAACACACACCGTGCGCAACACATGCGATGTGCAACACATGCCACACTATTATAACATGTGAGGGGAGCATAGTTGAGTCTGCAATGCATGCCTAGGCGCTGCATCTCAGCAAGGTGGCTGTGGGCTGAACTCGGGTGAGTTAAGTTGGTAAGGCTACCAATCCCATCGGGAATAGCGCCCGAAAGCTGGTTACCATGCAGCCATCTGGCAGTTGTAACAGGGGCAGAAGAGAGGGAACATTGCGAAGTGCATGGAAGGCAAGCTTGGAACGCGTGTATGAGAGCAATGCACCAGCAAAAGTATGTGAGCATGTACAGTGAAGGCCAGACACACGAGCGGTGAGGTGAGGCACACAAGGGGAGGGCCGTGCTGTGTGACATACGTGGACTCAAGACTGGTGAGCGAAGAGACTGTCTAGAAAAGATCCACTGAGGGAGTTGCTGCTCATGTTGCTGCAATGGAGGGGCCACATGGGCAGGGAGCATGCGCAGGATGCATGGGCAGGGAGCAGGGACAGGAAGCATGGACAGGAAGCATGGGCAGGGAGGGAGTATGGCAGCATAAGAGCCGCGTGAGGGCAATAGCAGATGAGTGGCGGCAAGATGCTCGCACCCCCCGTTGCGGCTGCGCTGCTGATAGGAAGAACACTAGCAGGCTAGGTCCCTGGAAGGCAGGTGTGGGAAACAGGCGAGGGAGAGGAGGACAAGAGTAATCACCACGTGCTCGTGACATCAGCAAGCGCAAGGCGTGTGCACACGATGACGAGGAAAATTGCATGGTGCCAATCCGATAAACATAGAGCCGGCACGCATGGCAAGAGAGACCACCCAAAGCGCCATCGGCCTATGGCGCAGCGCCTTAGGCGCGAGGGCCCTAGGCACAGAACCCCAAGTGCTATGCGCCTACGTTGCCAGCGCCCACGGCGCCGCGCCTTATGCGCCAGCACTCAAGGCGGCAGCACTCAAGGCGGCAGCATTCAAGGCAACAGCACTCAAGGCAACAGCACTCACGGAGGCAGTTCTAGCACTTGAAAGGCTGCCGGGATGGTGACTGCGCCGAAGTTGTCCGGAATCACAAAGAGTGGATCCCGTTGGGAAGCCAGCACACGTCATGGAGGATACAAAACATCAAAATGTTGACAAAAATGATAAAACAATTGCTCCCCCGCTTCAGCCCTAACACGACACTGGTGACCGTGACGGGCGGCAACAGCACCCACAGGGAAAGTAGACTTTGACGCAATCGACCTACCGCTGCGAAAAAATGACACGCTTCCCGACGAGAGCAAGGAAGGTAAGGTAACAACCAACTTGAACGCATGGAGCATGAACAGGAGAAAGTAACGAATAAGGCAAATCCCCACGCGCAGATATCTCTGGTACAAAAACCAGCGAAATCAAGCGACATAGATTAGCCATCCTTTCAAGCTCACCTCTGAAGCTTTAAGCGATCTTCTTCAACAGTGTCGCTTTCGATTGCCGCGATCTCCCTCTGCAAGCCCGATGTTGGCTCCGTCCTCGCTTGGGCGGAGCCGACTTCGTGGTCGGGTGTGAGGGGAGCAGCCGACCTGCAGCAGTGGGCAAGCTGGTTGACGAGGAGGTCGACCCGCACGAGGGCCACTGCACGGGCGCCGACTTCTGGGTGGCGCCGACTTCAGGGAGGTCGACCTGGGAAGTCGACCTGCGGAGGGCGTCAACTTGGTGACGCCAACTTGGGGCAGCCGACTTGGGTGGTCGGCTGACAAGCCTGCTGGTCGACTTGGTGGTTGGTCGACCAGGCGTGATGTCGACCTGACCTGGTGGTCGACGGAGGAAGGGCCGACGTTGGCCATAACTCAGGACGCCGAGCAGCTGAGCGTCGAGTAGCAGGGCGTCAAATTGATGATGCCGACTTCGGGTAGCCGACCTGGGTGGTCGGCTGACAACAGTGCTGGTCGACGCGGTGCTGGTCGACCAGGAGTGACGTCGATCTGGAGCTGGTCGACCATAGGTGTGGTCGACCTGATGAGGTCGACTGGAAGTGGTCGTCGACTTGGGAGGTCGACAGGCACATACAGGGGCAGCTGGTCGACGTGGTTGCCCGGTCGACCAGGTTATCTGGGTGACGAGGTTATGCGGAGGAGTACGACGGTCGCCAAGGCCATGTTGGCGAGACTGACCTCGGTGGTGGTATCCCGAGGTCGACGTGGCAGATCAGGTGAAGTCGTCAGCACGAGGACGACTTGGTGTGTGCGCTGTGCAGGTGACGAGGCACAGCATGCCAATCACCTGCGACACCTGCTCTCGGTCGCAGTGTTTCTTGTAGCTGCACCCGAGGACCAATAGCACACTGCCATGTCAGAGGAGAACAAAAGAGAGCACCAGTCCTAGCAGAAGCAAAAGACCCTTCGTAAGTTTGTCCCACTCCCTCGAACTCTTCCTCACTCTCCCCCCCCCCCCCCCCCCCCCCCCCGTCTCCCTCCCTCTCCCCGGTCACTCGCCAGCATGGCGGCATGCCACGAGTCAGGCACCGCAGCAGTAAGTGGGGCAGGAAGGACGTAGGTACCTGGGTAGGAGCTGCGATGAAGGATCGCTCCGATGAAGGATTGCTCGGTCTGCAACAGATGGGACGTTGCTCTATTCGGCCTCGTGCCCTGGCTCTCTCTTGCCTTCTGAGACCCATGCACCCTCATACCCTCACTCACGCACTAACAGTTTCCCAGTCCTTCTCACAAGTATTGTACCCATGTTTTCTCACACTCTACCCATGTCCAGTGTATACATGCTGATTTACTATTACCATCTTCCCACTTCTCCTCCCTGCAAGTGTGTAAACGGTGTCTGCCCCGTGTTCAAGGCTGTCGCGCTGGCTACCACTGCCTCTAGCTCACCCATGCTGACGTGTCTGTTGGTCCGTATTCACATACAGTCGCGCATTGGTGCCTACTCGCCAGTGCAGCGGCCACGACCTTATGGCGAGACAGATGCACCCAGATTTACGACAGCATCTTGTACTCATCGAAATTCTGCATTGTATACTCGCGATGTTCCTGGTTTCATGCAAGATCTATTTTTAGCAGCATAATAAACTTTCCGATAAATGCAAATGGCAGTCCTCTAACCGAGTCAAATTTGCAGCGGAATACAAATATCTAACCTTCGGACCAGAGGTGCTCCTCAACTCCACCTACACCTACAGTAAGCATGGTTGCTCGACGACTCCTTCCACCCCCCTTAGTCACAAAGCAGCCAATGCACGGCGGGTGGAACGACTCTCTACCTATGGTTCAAGGACCGGTTAGCAACGAGGTTCAGCATGGTTCCGGCATGCTTGTTTGTGATTTGTAAAACTACACAAATGATGGATTCATAAAACCAGCTACGGTAATGCATTAGTGGTGCCTGCTACAGAGTTGTAAACTTCATACCAGCAACACCTGTACCATCATATACATTTTTTAGGGTGCAATATGCACAGAGAAGACAAACCCTTCAGTAACAGCTAGCACGAGCTGCTGCATGAAGCATATGATAACATATTCACAACATTTTTTGTGCAAACTTGGCGATGGATGGATGTGTCGGGGCCATACAGCTCTTCCACTACTGTTGTTACAGCGAAATACCAGAAAGTAACCAGTCAACGGCTACACCATCGCTGCCATAATAATTGCTGCTCCCTCCACAATAGCAATCACATTGCTTCGAGCGAGCTTCAACAGGACATCATAGGAGGCAGTGGGGGGTTGAAGTGGGAGGGGAAGAGAATGTGGATTGGATACAGTGGGCATGTGTGGGAGAGGCGGAGTATAGGGGGGGGGTGTTGTGGGCTGGTTGAGGGCGGGAGGCATATGAGTGAGGAGGTGTGTGAGGAACGGTTGGGACGGCTGGGATTGCGGGGATGGTTGGAGTAGTATTGTGATCCGTGCTAGTGCCTTCATGCTGAACCTCATCATCAGTACCACCGCCAATCTCCTTCCAACACTGTTCACACCCCCTGTCGCCTCCTCAGCCCTAACTTTCTTCGTCCCCCTAGAATCTTTTCTCAGGCCTTTCTTTCCTCCCTCCTCGTCCATCTCCGCTCTTTTGTCCCTAGCTTTCCCTTCTAAACTCTTTCCCTCCTCCTCCTCCTCCTCCTCCTCCCCCCCCCCTCCACCCCTCCTCCTCCTCCTCCTCCTCCTCCTCCTCCTCCTCCTCCTCCTCCTCCTCCTCCTTCTCCTCCTCCTCCTCCTCCTCCTCCTCCACCGCCTCCTCCGTTTCCTCCACATCTCCCTCTCCCCTTACACCCTCCCCATCCCCCCCACTCCCCCCCATCCCATCCCGTCCACGTGCCCTACTCTCCCCAGCCCGATTCCTCTTCCTCTCACGCCGCGTATCACCATGCCTAACAGGGGCCACGTAGCTGCCTCCTCGGACGGCAGCAGGAGAAAGAGATGGGCACTTCCAGCTCGTCTAGGAACACGCAAGCATGCGCATTGCACATGGGCCATGTCTTGCCCTCCTTCCGCACTATTTCTTTCATGTACCGTTCCGTTGCATGTACTGATGCCCGCAGCAAGTGCACCGGTATGTCTTGTGGCTGCAGTAGGGGTGGTGGTGCGGGGCGAAGGGGGATTGGTAAGGGCTTTAATTTGGTCTCCCGACGCTTTGATTCTTTCACGTATCGTCCCTCGCATGCACTGATGCTCGTAACGAATGCGTGGTGTGTAGCTCCTGCCAGCCACGACTGATGGTGAGGGGTAAGGGTTGTGTTTTTGCGGTGCCTCGAAAATGGACTCGTAGCAAGGGCTGAGGCGTGGCGTGTAGCTCCTGCCAGCCAGTAGGGGTGGTGAGGGGTGGATTGGGGCGAGATGCGGTGGGCGGGGTGAAAGCGTTGGGAGTAGGGAGAAGTTGGAAATGCATCGTGAAGCATGGAAGGGAAGAGGAAGTAAAGAAACAATCGAATGCAGATAAATGGGGGAGGAACAAAGAATAAGATGTAACAAGTGACGTCAGCAATTGCCACATATGTATGGCAATGACTTGTTTATTGATATGATTGCTTGAAACTCTGTCAATTTGTCTAGCCAATATGGTGGAAAAAAAGTAAATGAAGTGAGAAAAACCATGGTGGAGGCGGATAGAGAGAAGAGGGGGGCGGGAGAGGGTTGCCTCAGAACTAAGAACGTCAACGTGAGAGGCGGCGGGCGGGCGGACGAACCTCTTCCACAAGGACCATGCGGTTTTTGAGCGAGAGAGTGAAGCCCAGCCCACCCAGCGTTGCTTCTAGCACCTTCTTCCCCTCACCAAACAACCTCTCGCGGATGACCTACGACGACACCCTCCCATTAGCCATCGTGCCGCCCGCGGATCCTGTCTCCCGCCGCCCTTCCAGCGTGCTCATACCGTCAGAATAGTTATCTCCAATACGCCGCTGACGATTTTAACACGCTTGCTTTCTAGTTTTTGGCGTTTCAATAGCTGCTTATCTAATATTTCGTCGTTAATCTATATCATATCGTCCTAGCGCTAATTTTAGGGCATGGAGTTGAGAGGCTACGATTGAATTGGGCATCCACCGGGATTGAAGAAGTGGTTTGTGAAGGTGTCATTTTGTTCGTCAATTACCCCTTCGCCAATCGAGTTGGACGAGCGGATTCGTGAGACTATCTTTATCTGTTGGGAGAAATGTTAAGTGGGAGATGGGGAACGAGGAGGTTCAGGAGGTTCAGGAGGTGTTTACAATGCAGAATAGCGGCAAAATTGAGGAGACGCGCGACGAATGCGAGGAAATTCGCGAAAGCGAAAGTGGAAGCGACGGGAGCGGCGGGGGAGGTGACGTCAGAAAAGTTCCTCTTTGAGCGACGAGAGTTACCTTAGTTACAACTCGCGTCAGGGCTGGCCGGGTGCAACGACCTCTAGCAGCAGCTGGAGAGATAGGGGGGATTGAAAGCACACGCGCCGGAGAGAAGAGGGAGGAGAGGACAGAAAGGACGGAGAGAATAGCGGGAAGAGAGGCTGGCAGGTCCGGCTGTATGGGGCGAGCTGCAGAGACAGGTGAGGAAATTGCGCGCGCGTGAGATGGGGAAAAGAGACAGGAGAGGCAGGAGATTAGGGTTGAGGCGAGGAGAGGGGTTGAGACAAGGAGGTGTAAGGGGAACGCGGTGGTAGCGGGAGGGACTAAAGGCGGGGTAAGTGGGGGGACGAATTTGGGGAAGAAGAAACTGCACAAGCAACCAAAGAGAGAGATGGAAGAAAAGAAGCAAGCGGATGAGGGGAAGAAGAAGCGGGGTGGGTGGGGGGATGAAGGGGAGAGTGTGAAAGAGGAGAAGCGGAAAGGAGAGCGTGGGGGAGGGGATGAGAGGGGGGATGAGAGGCGGGGGAAACGGAGAAGAGTTTTGGGAAGGGGGTCACATGAGAGAAAGGCGGAGGAGGAGGAGGAGGAGGAGGAGGATACTGCAGTTGAATCTGAGGGTGGTGAGGAGGGAAGGCTGACGAGTGGTTTGAGTAGGATCAATAGTCACGTAAAGAGGGAAGCTGAAGAGAAGGGGGAGGAGGAGGAGGAGGAGGAGGAGGATGGTGCCGGTGAAGCCGAGAAAAATCTGAAGGTGGTGGCGAGCAGAAGGACGGCAGTGAGTGGTTTGGCAGAAAGGGGGACTTTTGAGACGCCTGTAAAGGAAAGGCGGAGGGAGAAGGGAAGGCCTGTGTATGAAGAAATCAAGAACGAGATCAAGAAGCTGGTGACAACGGACAATTTGAATGAGGTCAGGGTTTGGGACCAGGGACCCTGAATGAGGGAGTTCAATCTTGCGACTTACAGTACAATACTGGTAGTTCGGAAGGGGAATATTAAGAAGCGGAGATTAGTGACATATTGTACTTTCCTCCTCCGTTTTTCCCATGCTGTTTCTCTGTTTCTCAATCCGTGTTTCTCTCTAACCCCTACTTCCCTCATTTGCTGCAGTGCTGCAGATGGCCATCAGATCCCTGCAACAGTGGCTACGTATGGATGGTGTTACTTTTGAAATTTCTCAGAAGCAATCCGCGTTTCTTTTTCCCGTCATTCCCCCCATATGACGATCGGTTCCGTGCAACAGCAACTTGGTATGAATGTGCAAACATTCTCTTCTATTCCACTCTTGGAGGCGCCCCCTCCTCCATCCCCGCCCTTTGAGGGCGCCCCCTCCTCCACGCCACTCCCCTCTTGGAGGCGCCCCCTCCTCCACGCCCGCCCTTTGAGGGCGCCCCCTCCTCCACGCCACTCCCCTCTTGGAGGCGCCCCCTCCTCCACGCCCGCCCTTTGAGGGCGCCCCCTCCTCCACGCCACTCCCCTCTTGGAGGCGCCCCCTCCTCCACGCCCGCCCTTTGAGGGCGCCCCCTCCTCCACGCCACTCCCCTCTTGGAGGCGCCCCCTCCTCCACGCCCGCCCTTTGAGGGCGCCCCCTCCTCCACGCCACTCCCCTCTTGGAGGCGCCCCCTCCTCCACGCCCGCCCTTTGAGGGCGCCCCCTCCTCCACGCCACTCCCCTCTTGGAGGCGCCCCCTCCTCCACGCCCGCCCTTTGAGGGCGCCCCCTCCTCCACGCCACTCCCCTCTTGGAGGCGCCCCCTCCTCCACGCCCGCCCTTTGAGGGCGCCCCCTCCTCCACGCCACTCCCCTCTTGGAGGCGCCCCCTCCTCTACGCACTGATATAGTTGCAGCTGCTTCATTCCTGTCACCAACTCGTGCCGTCTAATTCTGCACGCCCCCTCGTTCCCATGTGTGACTTTCCCATACCTTTCCCTCTCTCTCCCTATCTCTCGTTCTCTCTGTCTGTCCACCTCTCTCCTCATATCTCCCTTTCACTTCCTCCCCCGCGCTTTCCCTCAAGCAGAGACGACATTTGGGAAGAGCCATTTAGTGAGCTGGATCCAAGTGGAGGCTGTGTTGACTGATATAGTTCGTGAGGAGTGGCAGCAGCGTGAGGGACGAGTTGGGATGTCAGCGTGAAGTGAGTCTTGCAATTTGTCAAGATGACTTCTGTTGGTTGATTCAGGAGTGAGCACCAGGAGGGCGAGGGCCGTGGTGACTGAGATTTCCGGAGAGGAGTATCTGAAATGGCAGGAGAGTAAGGGGTGTTTTGCAATTTGTCAAGATGACTTCTGTGTGTTGATTCAGGACAGGAGTGAGCAGCACGCGGGCGAGGGCTGTGGTGACTGTTATATTCGGAGAGGAGTGGTACCTATGCTGGATTGGCAGTGTGAGCGGCGGGTTGGGATGAGAAAGTGCAGTGCATGTCGCAATTGGGTGTACCTCCATTATAGGCTTTGTCTATTACCAGGGCCATCTAGTTTGCGTGCCAACTCCCTTCCGCGGCAGCGCCGTTCAGCAATCGGACAGGCTGCGGCTGTGCATTCGTCGAGCACGTCGTGCTGCACATTGCGGCAGAGTAAAAGCATCAAGGGCGCCTCGTCCGGTAGCATCACCACGCTGGGTCGCCGCGATAGAGTAAGCCTTCCCGCTATGAGAAATTTTCGGGCCTGTCGGCCGGCTCAGCGCGTTGCATGCGCGACACAACGCGACGCCGCGCACTCTCCTTACCGCCTCGCCTGATGCGCGCCTCCTCCGCTGCGCGCCTCTCCCGCTTAACACCGCACACTATGCACGGCTCTCACACCTAGTAAATCACCATCTGCGCCCCTCTCCCGCTCGTCGCCTCGCCCGCTGCACGCCTTTCCCGCTTAGCGCCTCACCCGCAGCGCGCCTGATTCCTGCTTATATTTACATTTCCAGCCCTGAGCTTCCCATGTTATCCCCGCTTCTCCTCGTCATTACCCCCCCTACTCACCCTCCTTTAGCCTCCATGCTCCCGCTCATTTCCCCCTCTTCTTCCTCGGTTCCCTCCCTTCACCCCCTCATGAGCCCCATTCTTCCTCTTATTTCCCCCCATCCACCCTCACATTACCCCCCTTTCTCCCCCTCAATTTGGCCCCCTTCACACCCCCATTTCTCCCCCATTTCCCGTCGTCCAACCGGGGAGGCCCCCATCCAATGAGTTCCCCCCCCTTTCCCTCTCAAATTCCCTCCCTCTCGCTCTCGAATCCCCCCCTTATCCCTCTCAGCCCCCCTCGCCCTCATTTTACCCCCTTCTCCTTCTCAGTTCAGCTCCTGCTCCCACACATTTCCCCCCCTTCTGGCTTCGATTCCCCCCTTCTCCCTCTCATGGGTGGCGTGCCTTCCCCCCTCATGTTGCTCCCCATCATCCCTCTCATCATCCCCTCTTCGTCCCCTCATTTCCCCCCTTTCTCGCACTCAAATCCCCCTTTTCTCCGTCTCATCTACCCCCTTATCCCTCTCATTTCTCCCCCTTGCCCCTTCTCATTCCCCCTAGCCTCCCTCCTCCCCTCACCATCATTTCCCCCCTTGCTCCCTCTCATTTCCCCCCTTCTTCCTCTCATTTCCCCCCCTTCTCCCTCTCATTACCCCCCCGTTCCCCCCTCATTTGCCCCCCTTCTCCCCCCCATTTCTCCCCCTTCTCCCTCTCATTGCCCCCCCTTTTCCTTCTCAAATTCTCCCCTTCTCGCTCTCAAATCCCCCTTACATCCCTTTCCCCTCTACTCCCTATCATATCCCCGCTCCCACTCATTTTCGCCCTTTCTCCACCACACGTCCCCCCCTTCTCTCTCTCATTTCCCTTCCTGCTCCTTTCACTACCCCCCCATCTCCCCCCCATTTCCCTCCGTCTTCCCCTTCGTTTCTCCCCCTTCTCCCTCTCATTATCCCCCTTTCACCCTCTCAAGTTTCCCCCTCCAGTCTCTCAGATCCCCCTTCTCTCCCTCCCCTCCCGCCCCCACCCTCTTCTCCCTATCATTTCCCCGTTACCCCCCCTCATTTCCTCCCTCGCTCCATCTCAATACCTCCGTTGCTCCCTCTCAGCCGCCCCCCTTCTCCCTCTCATTTCCCTCTCAAAATACCCCCTTAATGCTCTGAAATCCCCCTTTTCTCCCGCGTGAGAGGCGAGTGTGAGAGGGCGGATCCCGCGTTGGTGCGGACGCGTAATGACTCTATACTTCTGGTTGCGTCGCCGTTTGTGTCGGAAACGGTGTTCGTTTGCGCAGGTTGTTGAATCGCGATCTGCTTATCTACATAGTTGTCGGACTACCGAACGTAGTGGCCTAGTTCTGAGAAAGCAGTTAGTTTGTATACTTTTGTTGTTTCAAAAGTTTTGAACCAGCAGTCAGAGGAGGAGATGGTGCGGGGTGTCGGGGGGATCATCGCCCTTGTGGGACGAGGGAAGTGAGCTGTAATAGGGTAACCAGTTTTCAAATTTCAAAACTTATGAAACTCCCACTTTCAAATGTATACGAAAGCTTTAACTAAATTTCTCTTGAAATTTGTGGGAACAATAAAACAAATCGCGGTTTACGCAATCATAGGCTCGCAACATGGCGAAAATAAAACAAACCGCGCTTCCGTGGAATTCTCGGATACCGCCAGGTCAAGGTGGCGCGACTGGAGCATGACATCGAAGTTGGTGTCAGGTTGGCGGGATGACATGGCGCAGCGCCGAACACCAGCTCGACAGCCTGTAAATCTTGTCACGAAGGAGGGTGGCAGACGAGCTTTGGTCGGGGGTGTGTGGGTATCGTTTGCAAGGTTTGCTTCATGCCTCGATTGACTTCAAAACTAGATTGTGATTAGTATGATCAATCGTTACACCAAAGATCACACAGAATCGTTGAAACTCCGCTCTCTGCCCTCGTACAGTACCACCTGCATCCATGACCCACCCAAGCGAGAGACAAGAAGGGTTTCGTTCAAACCACTCTCAAGACGCGTCATAATTGGTACACCAGGAGGGATCAGGATCAAACACTGAAAATGACAGCATCGCTCGTGAAACAGCCTGTTTCAATCTGCGCAAGCAGTGTCGGCTGCTTCCCCGAGCCACTTGGGACACGGCCAGAATTGCAGGTGGGGGACCTCCCATGCCAACTTGTACACCCATATGCCAGGGCGTCGCATTGCTTCGCTGGCGAGTCCAATTTCGTCATGCTTGTGACGCACAAAATTTCGTCCTATAACCGCATCGACGCTGGCCGACTGTATGCGACGCCGATCGATCGTGCCCATCACTAGAGGCGCGATCTCGATTCCCACGCTTCTAATGTAGCCATCCGATCTCGGCAATTTGGAAAGTGCTCGACAAGATTTGCGGCGTAAATATAGACGAAATAGGGATACAAAGCTTTCACGAATTGACGAAGACACTGTAGATTGTGCACACCGATCCCGCATACGATCGGTGTTGCAATTGTGACGCGTCCTCAGAAGAGGAACTCGCCCTGCGGCGCATGATACCCCCTCTCCTCGAGAACTAACCATGACACCCTGTAAGGAAAATTCCTTTTCATTACTTCGAGTCCCTGCTCAGCGCGTACACCACTGTTCCCGCCAGCAGCACCCAACAGTAAACTGTTACCACTCGCGACGCTCGCCTCGACGCTGTTCCCGCCGCTGTTTACGACGCGACCCAACCTCACGGTTCGGTTGGTAACCCGCGCTCCGGACCTCTGCCTTGACTTTTCCCATCCTCGGCCCTAGGCCCGTCGCGCACCCCAATTTCCACACATTACCGTTATCACTGTAGTTTCGCTATATTTCTTCGGTCATGCCTTTGCTACACTCTTGCTTCGATAGTGCAATTCTCGCTCGCTCGCTCAATTGCACTCGTAACACTTGGTATCAGAGCCTACGATCTCCTCTCGGACCGCACCCACACCTTCGCTTCCCCATTATCTCATTTTTTGAAGGGGGGTAGACGTCTCTCAGCGAACAAGCACCGCCGTTCGAAGTGCTTTCTCATAAGCACGCACGGCCACGGCCGACACCCCCGCCATGGCCGAATTTACTCTCGCGACGCTGACGTAGGAGCAGCTCGACCGTCTGGTGCGCCAGCTCGAGGATTCGCAACTCGAGATTGCGACGCTCATGGCGGAACGCGACTCCGCCTGCCAGCAATTAGCGACAAACGCACCAGCACCAACGCACGCACTCGCAAATGGACCCGCGCAAACGGACGAGCCAATCGTCTTCTCGTCCGGCACGCCATCACAGCACGACAGCGTGGGACAACGCTCAGGCGCAGCCAGTGATGGCGCCGCCCACTTAATGCCGGGCATGGAGAGAGTCAAGGCTGCACCAAGCACGCAGGGGCCTCGCGAAGCCCGTCGGCACGTGGAGTTTGCAGCAGCGAGTGGCAACAGCGATGTCATAGCACCGTTGCCACTCAGGCCGCAGCGCCCGCCCTGTTTCGATCCGAGCCAATGCGGGGGACCGACGGTTCAATAATGGATTTTCACGATGAACGTCTTCTTCGACGCGAATTACGTCGAGGACGATGCAGCGAAGATTTACGCGGTCGCAAGGGGGAGAGCCCACAGGTCCAGCCATCACCTGGAGTTCATTTTGTGAAACCGCCCAGTACAGCACGTGGGACGCGTGGTGCGCAGGGCTTCGGGCACGCTTCGAGCCGATCGCGGCTTCAAATTCGGCGCGTCAGAAACCACGTACTTGGCGGCAGCTCGGGTCAGTTCAAGACTACACGAGCGGTTTTCTCGCATTATGCGAGCAAGTCGGCTACATGCACGAAGCGGAGCGGGTGGACAGTTACGTCAGGGGGCTGAAGCCGGACATCTCGCACGAAATCATGCTACGCGGGCTCTCGAATTTCAACGAGATCCTCGCGCTCGCCGAGAAAATCGATATTTTGCACCATCCAAGACCGGGGTCCTACTACGGACATCGTCCTTGGGGGCTGACCGAGCACGCCACTGTACACGCCGTTGCGACGAATGCAGCTGCCGCGCCATTTAAGGGGGCGCTGCTTTGCTTGCAATCGGCCGGGCCATCGCAAGAGCGAATGCCCAGAGGAGCTGAGGCACCGCGAAACAGAGCAGGGAGAGGGAGTCTCAGAGACAGGGAAACGCCAACAGTCAGTAGAGATTGGGCCAACTACTGACGAGACTGCCTCCTCGCCCAACCTCACCAACCCTCACCGAGTCACAGTACCGATTCACGCCATCGATCAGGCTTGGATTAATAAGGAGGGTAAAGCAACGAATTGTCCGGTACTGATTTACGGGAAAATACAGGGAGCAGCAGTGAAGATTTTTATCGATGGAGGAGCAAGTTACAGTTTAGTTAATACCGCGACCGCACGGAAACTGCAACTGGCACTTAGTCGGTGTTGCAACTGCAACTGCACGCTTAGTCAACGGCCCGTCGCTGGCCATACGGGAGATAGTGGAGAGAGTAAAAGTCCGCTGCGGGGGGGAGCTTTTGGTTTACACAGGAAATGCTCGCGACGACACTGGATGGGCACGACATTTTACTGGGACGTGATTGGCTGCGACGGTATAACCCGCGAATCAACTGGACGACGGGTAGCTGCACTGTGCAAAGTAGCAATAACTTGAACCACGTCGCTGGCAGTCGACTGAGTCTTCAACGGTCCACGTCAACGCCATCACAATGTAACGGGCTGTCGCCGCTGGAGCTGACGTGTACGCAGTGGATCTAGCAGTGGTCGGGGAAGCAGAGAAGCCGAGCGACTTTCAGAAACTACTGGCAGCGGTACCGCCTGAACTACAGGACCTGTTGAAATGGTACCCATGAATTTTTCCCGACGACTTGCCGGAGGGACTGCCACCTCAGCGCGCACATGACCATCAGATAGAATTAGAACCGGGGGCACAACCAACTGTACGGCGACGGTTTAGACTGACACAGCCGGAGCTCGATGAGTTAAAGAAGCAGTTAGATTACCTATTAGAGAAGCAGTTTATCCGACCGAGCTCGTCACCGTTTGCCGCACAGATACTGTTCACACCGGAAAAAGACGGAGGGTTTCGCATGCGCATTGATTACAGAGCACTGAACAGGGTTACAGTCAAATCGCAATACCGAATTCCCCGCGCTGACAAACTGATAGATCAACTGCGAACGGCACGGGTCTTTCCGAAAATCGATTTATGGGGAGGTTACCATCAGATTCGAGTCGAACCATCAGACTGCGCCAAGACAGCTTTTAGGACTAGGTACGGGTCGTTCGAGTACACCGTTGTGCCTTTCGGGCTGACCAACGCTTCGGCGACGTTTCAGATGACCATGAACGAGGCGTTTAGGCCGCTTTTAGATAAATTTAGTTTACCTCGACGACATCCTTGTCTACAGTCGCGATAGGCAGTAGCACTTAGCAGATTTGGAAGCAGTATTTAGAAATTTAGACGAGCACCGCCTACTTACAAAGGGTTCCAAGTGCGAGTTTTTTCAGGACAGGCTAGAGTTTTTGGGGCACGTTATTTCGAAGGCTGGGGTTGAGATTGAACCGAAGAAGCTAGACACAGTTAAAGCGTGGCACCCCCCGACAAATATCACGGAGCTGCAGACTTTTGTAGGGTTCGTTTTTACGTCCGTCGGTTCGTCCCCGACATGGCCCGGTTAACAGCCCCACTTACGGATCTGCTGTGGAAGGGGGTCGCTTTTACATGGGGGAGAAAGAGCATGCTGCCTTCTCTGCCCTGAAAAATATCCTCTGTTCACCGCCAAAACAGAGGACCCACACCGCCCGTTCGAAGTAGTAACAGACGCAAGCGACATCGCCATCGGAGCTGTCTGCTACAGGACTTCGGCAACGGCCTACAGCCCATCGCCTAAAATCACGAAAACTGCATCCACCCGAGAAGAGTACCATATACACGACCGAAAAATGCTTGCCATTGTGCACGCGTTTGAAGTGTGGCGCTGTTACTTGACCGGCGCAGACGTGACAGTACGGACAGACCATTAATCACTACACTACCTCCGCGCACAGTCCCACCTCAACCCACGACAGTTTCGCTGGCTCGACTTCCTCGAGTGGAAATTTCACTACACGGTCACCTACAAGAAGAGGGCATCGAACATCGCCGACGCACTGACCCGCCCCA